GGAGAGCTCCGGCGAACAAGACGTGAGTCGAGAGCTTCTGGACGCCGACGACGCCAACGACGACGAGGGAGGAGGGCGGACGACGACGGGAATGACGACGACGACGGCGACGACGACGCCGGCGACGACGACGACGACGACGACGACGACGACGACGACGACGACGACGACGGCGCCGATGCCGACGACGACGACGACGACGACGAGAAGGATTTGGGCATCCGCGCGCGGCGACCGCGCGGATGTGCCCCGCATGGTGTTTTTTACCTGGGATTGTGGCCCCGGCAGGCGCGCGACCGATGCTAAAGGAGATAGACGCGCGCGCAAAAGTTGTTCGCACGAGCGAAATATTCAAAAACCATTGGTTTTTTGGGTTCGGACAGCAAGCGCGGGTAGACATTTTGATTTGTTGGTCGATTTTTTGGTGAGGAAGTATGGTACGATTGGTGTGATTTCATGAAGGTTGAAAACACACTGTGTTTGAAAGGATTTCTACATGCGCGCGCGGCGGCTGCGCGCATGTGCCCCGCATGGTTTTCTTACAAGGGACTGTGGTCCTGGCAGGCGCACGACCGATGTTGAAGGCGTTCGACGCGCGTGCATAAGTTGGTCGCAAGACAGAAATGTTGAGAAAAAAACAAAAACATTCGTTTGTTTTTGGGATTCGGAAAACGCGCGCGGGTGGAATGTTTGATTTTGTTTGCAGATTTGCTTCGGGGATGTATGGTACGGTTCGTGTGATTTCATGAAGCTCGGTTTTGAAATTGTTGAAACTACAATGTGTTTGAAAGGATTTCGACCTGCGCGCGCGGCGGCCGCGCGCATGTGCCCCGCATGGAATGTTTTTACAAGGGATTGTTGCCCTGGCAGGCGCGCGACCGTTGTTAAATGAGATAGACGTGCGCGCAAGAGTTGCCCAAGAAGCCCGATTTGACAGGAATGTTGAAAAGCCTTTGGTTTTTGAAGGATCCGGCAAGAGCGTACCGGCAGATGTTTCACAGTTTTTGGGCGAGAAAGTCGTATGTTCCCATAGGTTTTCTTGAAGTGGGATGTTGGCATTGTTGAAAACACAACATGTGTTTGGAAGGATTTCGACATCCGCGCGCAGCAGCCGCGCGCGTGTGCCCCGCATGGTGTTTTTTTGTTTCTTTTTTTACAAAGGATTTGCGAAAAAACGCGATGTTATAATTAAACATGTCACCTTATAGTATGTTTTGCAAGGGAACCGAGGGGGGGGGCTGGAACTGGCCTGGCTGGGATAGTTTGACTTCATCGGTAGGATGGACCTTGGGTCAGAATCATATGTGTTTTGCATAGGTTCCCGGGGAATCGATAAGTCCGGGGGGGAGGGTGGTAGAACTTATCTCCGTTTTAGAGAGGAGAACCTATGCGACGGCGACGACGGCGACGGGCGGCACCGCCCGCAAAAGCAGCCACTCGCCCCGAGCGGCGGCGACGGCGACGGAGACGGCGACTGCGACGGCGGCGACGGGCGGCACCGCCAGAAAAAGCCGCCACTCGCCCGGAGCGGCGGCGACGGCGACGGCGACAGCGGGCGGCACCACCCACAAAAGCAGCACCTGGTCCCGAGACGGTTAAGCCAAGCCAGAACACCGAAGTGCGAGCACTATTTGGGGAATATATAGACATACATGCACATACATATTTAGATATATACATACATGCATATCCATACATATATATATATATACACACATACGTGTATATTTGTTTATTGTATACATACGTACAAACATACATACAAACATACATACATACATACATACATACATACATACGTACAAACAGACAGACAGGCAGACAGACAGAAAGACAGACATACACATAACCAAGCATTTCGGCGTTTCGATCCATAATACGAGATACGCATCGCACATTCTCGACGCCGGCGATGCTCGCAGGGGCGAGGGCGGGGAGCATGAAGGCGTAGATTCCCTGTCATCTATTCCTAATCATCTAGACCTTGTGGACAACCTGCCCCCCCCCCCCCCCCCTGACCCCCAGCGTTTGGGGCTCCTGGACACCCCTCAGAGGGTCCTGCAAGATTCCTGGGCCTTTGGAAGTCCCTACCAAGCCGTGCAAACGGGTCGGCGGCGGTCCCAAGAGACCCCCAAGACTGTCCAAGATGGCCTCCAGCGGCCCCAGACCCCCGCCAGACGCCCGAAGACGGCCCAAATATCACCCCCAAGAGACCTTCGAAACAAAAAAAAATTGATAAGTCGTTGGTTTTTGTCTGATCTCGGGCTACTGGGTTATTCGGTCCTCCGGGCGTCCGAGAACGCCCGAGAGACATCGAAAACCGCTCCAAGACGACCAAATAAAGGTTCCTGACAATCCAAGAGAGCCCAAACAGGGCCCAAGAGGGCTCAGAAACTGCCCACAGAGAGCCCCATGACGGGCCAAAATTGCCCCAAGACGCCCTCCAGGAGCATTCAAAGTGTGACCCGAGACCACGGTTCGCAGCATGGTGGCCCAAGGAAACCCCCAGAGGCAGCCAGAAGGCGTCAGGGACGTCTCCAGAGGCGCCGAAGGAGTCCCTAAAAAGCCTTCGGGAGGTCCTCCAGAAGCTCGCCTCGGAACTCTGCGAACAAATCTGGGGAGGAAGTGAAATAGTTTGCGGGGCAATGAAGGCGATAACGAGGAAAAGGAAGAGGACATATGAGGGAAGGAGAAGGAACAACAGCATAACAAACGGTGAGGGCGAAAACTACAACCAACAGCGATCGCTGTTTTGGTTGATCTACCTCGCTGTCATTTTGCCTCCATGTTCGACGTGAAGGACACAAGCACATGGCGCGAAGCGCCAATGCACTCTTATTCGTAGATCAATATATATATATATACGCACACACACACATACACTGACCGTCGCCGTACTCTTCGGGTCTCTTCAGGCCGTTTTCGGGCCATCTTGGGGGCCTCCTGGGCCGTCTTGGGCCCCTCTGGTGCCGTCTTGGTTCCTCTGGGCAAGATTGGGGGCCTCATATAGGGTTGTGTTGGATCGGTCTGGGGGCCCTGTTGGGCTGTCTTGGCCCTTGGGCCGTATGGAGCTCCTGTTGGGGCCCTCTTGGAGCGTCTTGGGGACGTCTTGGGCCCCTCTCGGGCCATCCTGGGCTCGTCTTGGGGTCCTCATTGGGCGCCCAGTGGACCATCTTGGAGCGATCTCGGGAGCCGTTTCGGCCGCCTCGAGCGCCCTGGAGGCCTGCGGGAACAGCAAGCGACCGCAATCACATCGAGGATACACCGTGGGGAATGGCCTGCGCATGCCAAAACAATGTCAGAACACCGAAACCAGCTTCGTTCTGTTTGGGGTCGATTTGGCGTCCCCGGACGGCCAAATCGCTCATAATTATATAACTAGAGTGCTCATGTCGAGGTCGGCGGGTTCTCCCCCGAGGGGCCCTCCAGAAGAATCGTCTTCGTTGTGGTTGTGGTTCTGTGTGGTGCCCGGACGACCAGGAAGCCGAGCATGCGAAAAGGGCACCGAAGCCTGAGGAAGCCCCATGAGGTTGGCCTCCCAGGGGCCTCTCGGGAGTCGTCTTCGGGCCCATGCGGGCCATCTGGAATCCCTGCTGGGCCGTCGAGTGACCATCTCGGGCCCATCCTGGGCCATCTTGGGCTCATCGTGGCCGTCTTGGGGAGCTCGTCAGGCCCTCCCTGAAGCATCCTGGGGCCCTTTGGGGCCGTCTTGGGGCCATCTGGGGCCGTCTTGGATCCTCCGGGGACGCTCGCGACCCAGCCTCTCCAGCCGCACGCAAAGTTCAGGTCCTTGCTCTAATCCCTTAAGCCTCAGTCCTCAGGATTGAAAGACCTGGACCCCAAATTGCCGGATCTCCCAAGGCTTGTCGCGTGCCTCCTGGGCTCACCCGCATCTTGTCGGGTCCGAGAGGAATTCAAAAGGGGTCAAGAGAGCCCCAAGATGCCCCAAGACGGTCCAAGAGGGCCCCGAATCGCCGAAAGATCGCTCCAAGACGCCCAAGATGGCCCAAGACGGCCCATTAGGCCGCCAAGACGCCCCAAGAAAACTCCAAGAGGCGTCCCAGGAGGACCCCAATGGGCCAAAATCGTAAATTCTCCGTCGAGAAACTACATTTTGTAGCATCCCCGACTTTTCGGCCTCACGGCGTTCAAGACGACCCAAGAGTCGCCGAAAGATGGTCCAACAGGCTCCCAAGAGGGCCCCAAGACGGCCCAAGATGGCCCGAAGATGGCCCGAGATGCGCCCAAGACGGTCCAAGAAGGCCCCAAGATGGCCCGAAGCGGGGCCCCAGAGGGGGAGCCCGAACCGACAATTCGAGCCTTCCGCCCCAAGAAATCCCCACGAGGCCCCAAGAGGCCTCCAAGAGGCCCCCAAGAGGCCCCCAAGACGGCCCAAGACGGCCCGAAGATGGCCCGAGAGGCGCCCAAGACGGTCCAAGAAGGCCCCGAGACGGCCCGAAGCGGGGCCGAGGGGGGGCCCGAACCGACAATTCGAGCTTTCCGCCCCAGGATGCTCCCACGAGGCCCTAAGAGGCTTCCAACAAGCTCCCTCCAATACGGCCCCAAAGAAGCCTCAAAACTGCCTCCAACAGGTCCCCCATCATCCTCACGACCATCCAAGAGGCCTATGATCCACAACCCAAGTGCAGTGGCGGGATGGGCCGAGGGCCATTATCCGCCACCGTGCCTGCACGGAATGGGCGTGTTGGAATGCTCGTCTGTTGTCTTGGATGATTTCCTATTTTCTCTAGGGCCCTCCCCGCCCCTCGGGCACACGCAGGGTCTTGAGACCCCCCCCTCCCCGAATTGCTCTCCGGCGGCCTCGAAACGACCAAGGTGGCGTCCCAAAGATGGCCCAAGACGCCCCGAGGCACCCAACACAAGGAACATCACAGGGACGTGCCCTCCGAGGCACATGCCCTCAGCATGCCGCCCCCGCTGGGACCCTTCCCTGCCCCCTTCCCTGCCCCCCCCAGCCTGCCCTGCCCGAGAGAGCGCGCCTGGCACACCCGCTTCACCAGCGGTCGGCGGCAGGCCCTGATGACCTGGGAGACCCTCGCGGTGCTCACCCGCCGCCCTCCCCCCCCCTCCCCCCCTGACCGGGCACAACTGGGGGCGCTGCAGCTTCCCCCCCCGGTCAGGTGCTCGCTATGGGGACCTTCCTGGAGCCGCTCACTGCTCCTCCCATGCGTCGATGCTGCGTCGAGCGTCCGTCGAACGGAGTCGAACTTGAGTCGAGCTTGTGCCGTGCCAGAGTCGAACTATTGTGAACTAGGATCGGACAGATCCGTCAGGTCAGGTGGCCCCCAGGAAGGCCCCCCAAACGAACATCTAACCCAGAGGCGACGCGCACCTCCAATGAGGCATCGCAGGGGCCATGGTCCCATGCCGCCACATGCGCCAAGCCCACGGCCCCTGAACACCCAGGGGTGGTCTAGAGGGCCCAGCCGCAGGGCACGCCTGCTCTGGTGGACGTTTGCCCCCCCCCCCCCCCCCCCCCCGATGCCCGATCCCCTCTCCCCCTCTCCCTCCCCAGCGGGCAGCGAGGACGGAGGCAGGGGGAGGACTGTGACTGGACTTCCCTGAGATACGCCCGTGCGACGAACTGCAACATCTCAAACATCACGACAGGAGCCCAGGACCTTATCTCTTTCTGCGGCAGTTCCAGAACCGGATCGAAACGTGATAGTCCTGGGGGCCCGAAGCTGTGCGAGAACGCACGGTGTGAAACAATTGCAACGCCCGGACCTGAGAGTCGCCCCCCGAGCTTGGCACTCAGGCCATAATTCGCGCCTCCAGCGACCGTTCGGGGCGATGCCGGGCACCGCCGGAACGCTCTCCGAGGCGCAGCTTCTGGAGAGCATCCCGAGGCGAGAGGACGTCCAGGAACCAACGACAGCGCCCGAACACCGCGAGCCTCGAACCCTCAGGGATGGAGGCATGGGAGCCCCCGAGGACCAGCGGCAGGAGGCACCAGGGCGCACCCGCGGGCCGTCGGCGGCAGGCCAGCGCCGCCAGCGGTCGGCGGGCTGCCCGGGGCGGCGGGCCTTCCCGGCCCCGAGCCGCTCCCCTGCGCGGACCCCCCGCCCTCGGCCCGGACCGCGCGCGAGGGCCCGCAACGGAGCCGCGCAGTCGGCCTCCGTCCGCTCGAGGGCCCGCGACCTCCGCCTCCCCCTGCTCGTGGGCCATTTCTGCTGCCACCACGGCTGCCGCTCCTCCTGGCTCCACCTCCTCCTCCTCCTCCTCCTCCTCCTCCTCCTCCTCCTCCTCCTCCTCCTCCTGGCTCTCCTCCTCCTCCTCCTCCTCCTCCTCCTCCTCCTCCTGCTCCTCCTCCCCTCCTTCGTCCTCCTCCTGGCCCCGCGCCTCGTGCTGCTCCTCATTACTCTCTTCCTCTTCGTGCTGCTGCTCCACCTCTTCTAAGCAGTCCACCCCTCTACTGCTTCTCGTGCTCCGCCATCTCCCTCCTCACACGCCCAGCAACATCCCAGCAGAAACCATGGACAATCTGCTCCTCCCTCCTCCCCTCCTCCGACCTGTCTTGCTTCCCCATCGGGAGGAGCAGGAGAAGGAGGGAGTCCTGGACGAGATGGGGTCCTCCAGCAGTGGCACGGGGAGGCATATCCACGCGCCAGCGCAAGAGGAGGATGAGACCAGCAGCAGTGGTAGAAGACGGAGGCAGGACCAGGACAAGTACGATAGTCAACAACTGCAACAATATAGTTTCTCGGAGGTCCGCGCGCACCTCAGAAATCATGTTTGTGCAGTTTTCGTTCTTCGAACTTCGAACAGAGGAGGATCAGGAGGAGAGGGGGATGGCGGAATGGAGAAGGAGGAGGAAGAAGAGGGGAGAACTTGCAGGAGGAGGAGAGGGGGAGGAGTTGCGAAGCTCTGTTTACTCGTTCTGGTAGAAATGGCGTTCCCGCCGCTGCTCCTCTTCCAGATAGACGTCGACAATGCCGACCTGCGCCCTCACAGCGTCGTCCGCATGCATGTCGACAAAGTCGCGCAGTTCCCGCAACGAGTTCAGGCAGAGGTGCCGGAGATAGTCGTCGTGGAGCAGTTGCATCAGCCAGCCCATCCTGTCGAGCACGTCTAGCGTGCTCTTGTCGATAGGCCCCCGCAGCAGGCAATCGGTGGCCCTCCACTCGCCGTATTTCTCGATGGATTCCGCCGGGCTGGACGTTATGTCGAACACCACCCGTGGCTGGTCCTCCCTGGCCTCGTGCGCGACGTGGTCGATGGTGAGGCCCGACAGCGATGTTCCCATCACGAAGATCGCGTCCGCGTGCGCCATGTCTGCAAAAACATTGTAGGGCTTTCCATCGGCGGTAGTGCTCCACAGAGGCCTGTCGAACATGACACTGCCCGGCTTCACGGAGTACTGCTGCAGCCGTGCTTCAGTGTCCAGGGCACGGTGGAACTTCGCTGGGAGCAGGTCCCCGAACATGGCCAGCGTGATCGGGGTCGACTCCCCTGGGCCAGGCCACAGGTGGCTCGACCTGCCCTGCCGAAGCGGCCTGTCGTGGTAGATGTCCTTGATCGAGGCCTTGACCAGCTCGACGTACCTCCGATAGATCGGGCCCCTGGGGTCGGTGCACAGCGTGATATCCGCCTGCCCCCTCCGCTGATGCTCTAGGGGCTCCGACACCAGCGTCGACATCAGCCCGTGCGGGTTGTATAGCTTGCTCTTCTCGGCAACAACCTTGTGGTCCAGCCCGTCGATATTCTGGGACGCGAGCATGCGCAGCTTGCCGTTTGCAGCCAGGATCCCCGGGAGCACGTGCCCGAGGCTGCACTTCCACTGTCCCGCGCCGATGCCGAGTATGAGGCCCCGGCGCATCTCGTGGTACGGGAGGGGGTTCTCACGAAATAACTCGAGCGTCAGCGCGCTCTTGATGTCCCGCCCCAGGGCGGCCTTCTGCCGCGCGGCCGCGGCCTCGCCACCCAGGTACGTGAAGCGGCCCAACAGCTGCTCAGCTGTGCCGTAGAGGCCCCCGGGGGAACGGAAATCGGGGATGCCTGCCGCGGTTGACATCCCGGCCCCGCTCAGCACCATGACGCTGCTCGACTGGCTCAGGATGTCTGCCACCCTGGCCAGCGCCTCCTCGTAGGCCCCCTGAGGGGCAACGACAGGGGGGGGGACTGGCGTTGGGGGGGAGAACGTCCACCTCGAATGGGCGTTACCTCGCCGATGGGTCGGCGATAGGATCTCGGTAGCGAGAGCCTCACGTTCCTAAGCGAGGTGGGCCATCAGGCCCCTGTCGATGCCCCGAACCCTGGGCACATCGCCCCCGAAGTCTGCCCCCTTGGCATTCGGGCCATGCAACTCGGCTCTCTGGCGGCCGCTCGGGGCGATGCCCAGGCCACCCCGCAACGCTCTCGGCGAGGCGCAGCTGCTGGCGAGAGCACCCCGAGGCTGGAAAAAACCTCGTGGAACCCACGAGCGCGCCCCCGAGACTTTGGCCCTCGAACGCCCCCCGCCCCCCCCCTCCCCCGGAGCGTGGCCCCTGAGCCCATCCACCCCCAACGTTGCACCACGTGAGTATCGCTTAACCGCTCCCCATCCCCAGCGGCGTGGCCTGGGCCCCACTGGCCGATCTACCCCCCTGGATGGGGATGTAGGTCGTCCCCTTCGGGCTTCGAGGGGTGTATCCCCAACTGGGGGGGGAAATTTGGTGGGGGTCTCGAAGGGGATGGGGACCAAGACCCCCGACGTCGTGATTTTTGCACAACGTCGACCCCCAGAGGTCTGGACCCCTTCCCTGGGACCAGTTTCTCGTCCTGAGTCGTTTTCTGACGGTCCCGAGGCCCGGCGAGGGCCCCCAAGGGCCGAAAGTAGCGAAAAGCCTCCCGTCGTGAGCTTTCCACAGCGCGAGGAGGTCTGGGAACGACACTGACCACGGCCTCCTCGTGGGCCCCCGCGCCCGACGCGCACGCGCCACGGCGGCCGGCGAGCAGCGCCGCGGCGCTGCCGCGGCGGCCGGCGAGCAGCGCCGCGGCCGCTCGCCGCGGCGGGGCGCCCCGCCGCGCGGCCGCGCCGCCGCACGGGCGGAGGCCCCGCCGCGGCAGCGGCCCGCCGCTGCACGGCCCGAGCCGGCGGCTCGGCGCGCCGCCCGCGGGGCCCGCGCGGCGGCGCCGCGGGCGGAGCGCCCGCCGCAGCGGCCGGCGGCGCGCAGGAGAGGGGATCCCCCCAGAGGTATGCGGGCCTCGGACAACGGTAGCGAACGTTCCTGCCACATTCGTCTGTCAACGCCTCCTCCTCCCCCCAACGTTCACAGTTGGCGGTGGGTCTGATGAGTTGCACCACGACCGTGGTCTCCCCCGCGCGTGCCAACTTTGTGTTTGGGGGGCAGGGGGTTGTTCACTAATTGTTTCCCTCCACCGTATCCGATGCTCCAAAAAACAACAACAACTCTTCGAGGGAGAAGGTGGGAGCGGACCGCATCACGCTTCCACGGCTGGCGCCAAACTCTTCACCGGGAGCTGTGGCGGACCAACAGCTGTTTGTTAAACAGCGGCGTTTTGTAGCACGGGTTGTTTGTCCGACGCTTCAAAAAAAATGGAGCGGCGGGTCTGGGGGTCGTTTTCAGCCTCTGGGGGCCCTCGCCGGGCCTCGAAACCGTCGAAAAGCGACCCAAGGCGAAAAACAGGCCCTGGGGAAGTGGTCCAGACCTCCCAGGGACCACGCATCGAAAAAGTAGGAGCGGGCGGATGTCTGGGGCCTGACAGCCCCCGGATGTCAGGGTGCCTTGCCGTACGGGGAGGGCATTGGATAAGGAACCACTGGATAAGGAACCCAGGGCCTGCCAGCCAGTGGAACTCCAGTCGCGGCTTGGCCATGGATATCGGCGCCGCCCTCATCAGAGAAGGAACCCTCCAGGGCCTGAAGCTCCCGGGGCACACTCCTTCACCCACGCCTTCCCCCCTCTTCGCCCACTGGGCCCAGCTGGGCGAGACGGGCGCGCGCAGTGCCGCCGGGCTCTCCGAGGACCACCGCCGGGCCCCGCCTCGGGCAGTGGGCCCAGGAGGACCCAGCAGCGCCTTCTTGCAAGAGGGGACGGAGGGAGGAGGAGGCGAAGGCACTGACCCCGGATCCGCCCTACTTTGGGCGACTTCGCAGGTTTGGCGGAAATGCTCGCCCTCCTCTTCAGGCGCCTATGATGCCGATTTTGGACCTGATTTGCCGTCACTGTTTCCACCACACCTTTGCGGGGGTAATTTTCCGCCCAATTGTTCTGAGGCGGAATGTCCGCCTCAGAACCATTGGGCGGAGAACCATTGGGCGGGCATTGGAGATGCGTGTCCGACACCATCCTAAGTCGGACATCGACCCCAATACCGCGGATCCGGAGTCAGGGTCGGCGCAGAAGGGGGCCCCAGACCTCCACTCTCCAGCGAACATCCGTTCTCGTTGTCGGAACTGCTCGCTCTGAAGAAGCTTGCGTTCGCTCGCGTGCTGAGGCGCCGTCTCCTCGTGGTGACTCGACACGGTCGACCCGGCACCAGGGCGGAGGCCTCTCGCAGGGGGCTCGGACCTCCACTTTCCAGCGAACATCCGTGTCCGTTGTCGGAACTGCTCGCTCTGAAGACCCAGAGATCCGATGTCCAGAAGTCTCGACCGATTCCCCAGGATCGGTTTTTCATCCTGAACCGTTTCTTGACAGTCCCGGGGCCCGGCGAGGGCCCCTATGGAGGCCGAAGAGTGAGAAAAACCTCCGTCTTGATTTTGTCAACACGTTGGACCTCATGGGAAGCTTGCGTTCGCTCTCGCGCTGAGGCGCCGCCTCCTCGTGGTGGCGCGGCACGGTCGACCGGTCGACCCGGCACCAGGAGACCCTTATTGGCGTCCGAGGGGGGCCCTCCTCGCCGGGCCCGGCCCCGCGGGCGACGTCGAGAGGCGAAACCCTGGGAGGATCAGCGGGGGCCCCCCGACGGTGCCACGAGACACCGGACATCGGTGCGGAAACCGCTGGACTCAGGTCGGGCATATCCCCCTACAGGCGGCTTTTGGACGACAAATAAAAAAAAGTCAAAACACAATTCGAACACTTGTTGTCAAAAACAATCAGAAAATCGTCCCCAGACTATTTTTGGACTATCTTTGAATTACACCTGAGAAAACCCAACCAGTGGATGATTTGAAAATTGGTACTATGGATCTTGAAATCGATTGTGAGATCGATAATGAGATCGATAGTGTAATCGATAGTGAGGACGATTGTAAGGTCGATCGTGAGACCGAATGAAATCGATTCAATGAGATCGATAGTGAGATCGATCGCGAGATCGCTCATGCGATCTCTAGTGAGATCGCTTGTGAGATTGATAGTGAGGTCGACTGTGAGATCGATCGAAAAGTCGGTAATGAGATCGATGGTGAGACCGATCGATAAGAAGATCGACCAGAAACCCAGGAACCCAAGATCCTCGCCGCCCTCCGAAATCGGCCCGGAACCCGGAACCGGGAACCCGGGAACCCGGAACCGGGGACCCGGGAACCTGGGAACCCAGCCTGCCACCAAAATCGGCGGGGAACTTTCGCCAAATCCTTCAACATCCGCTAGGACCTCTTCAGTGCGAGCACTGCTTGCGGAATATTCCTCCTGCAGAGGGACATGCCCGACTTCACGCTGGACCCCGCGTGGAAACCATCGAAACACTGGAGGTCGGGGCGCTGCGCAGCCTCCCGCGCCTGGGGGCCCTCGCCGACAACCCCGCGGGCCGTCGAGGGGCGACCGCAGAGGGCGACCGGCGGGGCCCCCGCCTCGCCCCCGGAGGCGGCACGGAGCTCCCGGACCCCGCGCGGGCCCCGGGGGGCGGGCGGCTCCCCCCCGCGCGGCAGGGGGCCCCTCCGAGGCCCTCCGCCCCTCGCCTTCTCCCCACATCTCGGGTGTTGCTCGTCGTCGTCGTTGTCGCCGTCGTCGTCATCGCCGTCGTCGGTTCGTCGTCGTCGTCGGCTCGTCGTTGTCGTCGTCGTCGTCGGTTCGTCGTCTTCGTCGTCGCCGTCGCCGTCGCCGTCGTCGTCGTCGTCGTCGTCGTGGTCGTCGCCGGGGACCCCGTGTGGACTCCGGGGCCGGCGGCCCCCTCTGAACGACAGGAGCCTCTGCAAGGCCCTCCCCCTCTCGCCTTCTACCCATGTCGGCTAAACGCAAGAGTGACCCTGGGTGAGAGTGACCTTTGGTGTGCGGCTTCAGGGGGGGCGCGAGTGGGCCCAACCAAGAGCGCCAGCCGCTGCTATCGCATCGCGTTCGGCGATCGGGGGCCAGGACCCTACTGTGCCCGCACCAAAGGTCACTCCGGCGAAGGGTCGCTCTTACGTCCAGCCGACCATATCTCGGGTGCTGCCAGATGTGCCCCTGGCCCAGGGTGCCCCCAGGATTTCCAAGGAGGTCCCCACGGCCTCCAGTCGGCGAGCGAGGGAGGGGAGCGAGAAGGAGAAGGCCTCCTCAGAAGGCCTCCTCAGAAAGCGGCGAAACTTCTCCGAAACCCTCCGCCCTTCTCAGAGGTTTTCCGTGCATTCGGGGAAGGCTTAGACAACTTCTCGGAAGTCCGGGGACTTCCGAGCCTTCCGAGAAGGCCTGCTCCTTCTCACGTTCGGTCGGGCATGTCCCCCTGCAGGCGAATTTTGGGCGAAAAATGAAAAAGAACCTAACAATTAGCAAAACCATACTAAAACATGGTCAAAACTCGTCCCTTTGTGAGCATTCTCCCTGTAGGGGGACAGGCCCGACTTCAGGCTCGCCGCCGATCCCGAGCACCCCCTCACGAGGCCCAGGGGGGCCCCCCCCGGGGCCCCAAGACGGAGCGAACAGAAGCTGGGGGCACCTGGGCGGGTCAGGGGCACCTTCGGCAACGCCCGACCCAGCAGGCGATGTGAGTCTCAATCCTTAGAGGCTTGGAAATGGGCGCCAACACCAACACTGAGGGTTGAAGCCGATCCCAGATCTCGGTGCTGGTGGTAATGGTTCGGTCGCCTTGGAAGCCAGGACATTACCACCATTGCCGAGATCGGGATCCTCTTCTCTCGGTGGAGGCACACCGCCGATCTCGGTGTTGGTGTCGACCTCTGAGCCTGCGAAATCAATCCTAGCGCGCTGCCTCCCCGTCCGCCTCTGGGGCCCGTCGTCGGGCCCCAGAGGCCGTCCAGGGGTGGGCTCGATCGGGACGGAGGCAGCTGCCTCCAGGGCAGGAGATCGGAAGCACCGAGACCGCGCGCTGGGATAAACTCACCTCGTCGGCCGTCTGGCTCGGGGCTCCCGCGGCAAAGGGCTCCCCCCCGACCCAGAGCCGCAGCCACCACGGGATGCCCGCCCAAGACGCGAAGCGCGAGGAGACCCGTCGGCGGCACAAAGCCATGGGGCCCTGAGGGATGGGGCCCCGAGACCTCCAGGAGGAGGAGGGAGGAAAAGGAGGAAGGAAGGAGGAG